TCAGGGAGGGGGTGCATGTAATTGTAAAGGGAGACATTTTCTTTGGGGTTCCAAAAAAACACAATTCCACTTGACAATTTCATGGGCCATTTCAATTGGAAGCTCTGCATAATCATGGTTCATACAGGACTGAAATTTTTTTCAAGGACTTTTCAAAGACATTTTATCAGACATTTTATCGGAATTCATACACAGAACAAAACATACCTGGATTAATTTAATAACCGGTTACCCCATTCTTAATCACTGCATGTCACCTCTAAAACTTACCTGGATCACATTAATAAACCCTTCTAAACACTGTCACTTCTACAACATACCTTGATTTACTGAGTGATTTCGTGATTTACTGTTAATTTGCTAATCATCATTTAACATGTCTGATCGTCGCTTCTATAGCTCTTTTTTAGCTCATTTCTAACGCAGATTTTTAATAGAGGGGTTTGCACATATATTGATGCGTTACAAATTTCTTTTTTTTACGAGCTAATGATTCTTTCTAAAATTTCAGGACATTTTCATCGAAATTCAAAGACTTTCATGAAATTCAAGGACATTTTCATGAAAATTCAAAGGACATTTTTCATGAAATTCAAGCGACTTTCAAGCCACAAAATCAACATTTACAAATTCAAGTCTTGTCAAGGACTCCCCTCAAACTTCAAGGACTTTTCAAGGACTGTGTGCGAACCATGATAATGCGACCCCAACAAGCCTTTGACTGACTAGGTCAAGAATTCAAAGCGTCTGTAGGCATATATATTGCTCCCTCTATTTAGCCGCGCGATAGCTTCTTAATTTTAGAACAAAGTCTTCATTGTTATCTTCTGAAAAATTACAGACCCTCGGCTGACCGCTGTGGAGGACATGCAAGCCGGGCTCGAATTTGGCCCGCACACGGTCTCCATTTGCGGACAAGCGCTTCATTACTTGAACATGCCCCCCCCCCGCCGGTCGCGTGCGCATATTCCCGCAGGAACTGCGCGTCTCACTCCGCGCACAGCGCTCAGGATCAAGGCACAATATTTGTGGCCACGCAATCTTGTATCAATCACCATCATGTCTCTCTGTTTAGTGCATGTGTGATTATATTATGAATGCTGTCCAAAAGTGTTTCGTATTGAAAACGTGATTCACTGAAAATTAGCTTCTCTGATCAAGCGGGGCCTAAAATGTATACAAATAATAGATTTTGAACTAAAAGTAAAGTTTCTAGATTAACTAAAACCTGTATATCTATTTTATAGGGATTCGAAGCTAATGTTGATTTGAGCGTCATAAATATACTCTACTAGCGCTGATAGGGTCTATGTCCCAGGGTACTGCCCGGAACGTTTGGGTTAGGCCGTTTAGTAGATACAATAATGTATAACCCAAACCAAGATGGATAGCGGTTACCAAAGTCTCCCTATCCTTTTCTGCCGGAGGAAATGCCCGCACGTGAATCACTCGCGGCGCGGTTTGCGTGCGTGCGTTTTCAGATTACTAGAACTTCCAAACTGGCGTTTTATTCTCAACAGCGAACCTTTCTCCGCCTATTCAGGGAACTTACTATGTATTGCAATACTTCTGGTATTAAACTAATATGACTTTCTTACAAAATTCGAAGTGACGCAGCCGGCGATAGATACTGAGCGCCATTTTCTGTTGGACCTGTGACGTACTTCGGTTTGAAGAGGCGGATTTCACGACATCGGCAGGGGCGCTGAGTTTCGCGATCGCTTATGCGCATTGGCGATGCCGCTACGTCACAGGTCAACAGCAATAGGTCTCAGTAATCGCCGCCTCGTCACTATCGAATTTTTTAACAGGTCATATTTTAGTTAATTACAGAGTATTGACAATACATTAGTAAGTTCCCGAAATAGCATGCGCCCAGAAAGGTTCGTGTGTGAGAATATAACCCAGTTTTTGGAAGTATCTACGTAGTCTGAAAACGCACCCAGCAAAACCGGCCCGAGTGATTCACTCGGCATTCCTCCGCCCCAGAAAGGATAGGGAGACTTTGCTAACCCTATCCTCTTTGGCGTTTGGCGTATACATTTATTGTATCTAGGTTAGGAGGTTTAGGTATTTTTATTGGTTTCCTCTCATCATAGTGTTAGGGTTTAGGCGAGTAGCGCGTTTGAAGGCCGACTCCTAGACTCTTCGTAGTGGAGTAGGCGACGTTACGGTTATCCGGCATATTAGAATAGTACCAGGGGTACGTTTCGTTATACCGGCCGGTACCAGGGTACGTTCCGGCAGTACCCCGGGGCGACATAGACCTCTCCTCAGCCACTACTACTACTACGGGCAATCAAATTGTGCGTATACGGCAATAGCTGGAAGTGGATACTGCTGCTGATCATACGGCGGTTAAATATCCACTGCATTTCGTATATATGTCTATCACTTCAGTCTCCACACTAGCTCCAAGAAACGGTATTGCTAGGGTTAGAATACCCTCGGTTGACTGTGTATATGACACTGCCTTCGCCCAACAGCCTCGGTCGGGGCTATCTCCACACAGCCTCCAAGAAACGGTATTGCCTAGGGTTAGAATAAACGAAGACCCTGTTGACTGTTGTATGGCTACAATGAGCTGAATGACGTCAAGCTCACAACCAGCCTGGTCGGGCGTTATCTCCGTCTCCACACTAGGCTAGAACCGCCGTTACGAGTAAAACCGACAGGCTTCCGAACTGTTACACGTAGTGTTAAAAGCCGCACACAATGCGCCACCAAAACGCCTAATTTCTAACAGCTACTAGACTAGCAAATACTTCGTGCATGGCATAATCACACTACCTTACTGACAATAATAACTTCTAGTTCCTCCATTTCACTGCGCGTTTGCTCTTCATAAAAGGTATTTGAAATAACCTCCACTGTTTTCAATTTGCCGATGTTGTTGACCGTTCTGCGTTTGCTCTGCCAGGCAACCTGGTCCAGCGCGTGTAGCAAAGATTTCTACGGCCCTTGGTGCGTTTATTCGCTTGCACGCTGCTAGCGCAATGTTCGCGTGGTGTGGCGATATCACAGCCTAAAATCATACGTTATTTTCACGTTTATTACGCTGCACTTCTACGTTTGGCTTGTTTGTTATGCCACAGCCACCTTTTCCCGCGTCCTCATTACGACTGCGCCACTATTGCAAACAGTCTTACCGGGCGCAAACAATTCCTTATCAAACCCTGTAGCCAACGGGATGTGACGTCAACGACACAAGTCGATGCTTTTGGTTGTTTGGAAACAAGTTAGCGTTGGCGCCTGATTACCTGATTTCGCCACCTCTTTTCTTGTTGGGAACGCTGCAGGTCAAATGGCGAGGACACCAGAGTTTATTTTGTCATACAGTAGTTGATTATGCATGCCACGGAAGTATTTGCTAGTCTATGTACTGTAGAATATTAGCGTTTTGTGTGCGATTGTGCGGCTTAAGCGAGATGGGAACTTGTGGCTAGGTACAGAGCTAGTTGTGTGAATTTATCGTGGGACGGACAAAATATGATACTATTATATACCTTAACGTCATCAGTTTGTCTGCTTTGGTTAATTTCAGCCCAGACAGCAACAGAACGAACCTCTGCTGTTCGAGTACCTAAATTATAGCCTTTGGATTTCATACTTGGCGGTGTATCGGACGCTCTGTTTTGAAGAATTTCGACGCGCTGGTGCCGCGTGTGCCGCTCCGATCGCGCTCGCACGAGTACGCATGCGCAGGAGACATCTGAACATTCAAACCCATCTGTACGATACACGCGCTCATAGCACGCGCTCTTCTTGCTATCTATGACATCTATTTCTATGCATCCAGTGATCCAACCACCCATCAAAAAATAATCAAAATGGTGTTTTCCAACAGTAGTGGGTGTCCATAGACAGCGAGCTTGAATGGACACCACATGGGCAGCAGACAGAAAATAATTAAAAATATTTAGAGAGTTACATGCAACACGCAATCAAGAGCGGTTTATCAAGAGCATATCAAGGCGTTTTATCAAGCGTTTATCAAGAGCATTTCACCATTTGCATTCATGCTAAATTACCACATATCAACAGTACAATCTTCACTCGAAACTTTTCTCAGCTATATATATTTGCATTTCCAGCATGTTTGTCGGGTACCCTTTTACTCACAAACGCGGCAGTCCGGTCACCATGGCTACGACACTCCACAATTTTGCATAGCCGTTTTCCCACAAAACCAATTTAATCTTTAATGCTTTCCATGCGTCTATCGAGCATCTATCTCACGTGTGCAATGCAGATTTCTGCACTCTAATGACGAAATTTGCCACACACAAAAACGAGAAAACTGCCCAATTCCAGCAAAGGCGCAAAAACGCGCGCCTACGGGCTCGCACGCACTAGGGTCACGCACACACACGCGCCCACGCAAACTTCTATTATATTCGAATATATATCTTTACACTTATTTCTTAATTATTATTTATTATAATTACCGTAACTGACCCATTATCATGTAATCGGCTCATGAGTCGTTTTATGCACGGCCTATTCGCACTTACACTGTAATGTGTCATGACCTGCATGCGCACTACATCAAGGCGGTTATTTGCGTCGTTGAAATATTGCGCATACGCATCCGTATAAGTACATACTTTCACGTCGCATTTATACGTTCGCTCATCGGCTGGCTTCCCAGCACGCGCCTGTGCTCTCACTAGCGTGACTAGTTGTAGCCTTGTAGGTGTCGGCAATAGCGTCAACTTCATCATCGCAATAAACTTGCCGCCATCGCCATCATCACTGTCGCCACCATTGGCGTCTTCACTGTCGCCGTCATCGACGTCATGACAGTCGTCGTTATAACCATAATTATTGTCGCTTCCATAGCCATCATCACCGTCGCCGTTCCATCATCACTATTCTATCACCACATCCTATCCATCATCACTATCGCCGCCACCGTCACGACTGCTAATGGTGCAACAGCGGTGATTCGAATGTGAGACTTCGGGCAGGTGGTGGTTCGTGCAACCGTGTGAAACTGCATGGCTACAATGAACAGCACGTCGGCTGCTAACAGTCACCCAGCCGACCGGCCCGTCCTGCGCAACGCAGCGATACCGTTCGGACAGGCGATCGCCTATGTTGTCATCCAGATGATCGCTAGTGGTACGTAAATCGTAGTGTGATGTCTAGAAAAACACCCGGAAAATATGTTATTTAAATGAATCTAATTTGGTAGAATGATGCAGCAGTAATCATGGAAACACGAAACGCAACACGTTTGTATAATATGCAAAACGTCTATTGCTCCTTAAAATCGGAGCGATATTATTTAAATGCGCATTAATGCACGCAGTCACGCGTTCGAGCGAATACACATCGTGTATTAATATGATATAGGGTTGTATACGCTTATGTCTGTAATAGGCGTCGGTGTTATCGGCAACATTCTGGTGATCGGTGCTGTGCTGATCTACAAACCACTGAGAAAATCCGGCAACATCTTCATCGCCACTCTGGCCATCGTTGACCTTTGCGTGACCGGTTACATCACGCCGCTGGGAATCCTAGGTAAGCCGACTGTAAAATGAGCCCATATACCGGATATCAACTGATTTAGTTAGAATTAGTATACAAATTATGTCGTTGTTGAGTTTATAGTTATGTTCGCGCAAGAATATTGTATGGTGTCCGGTCGTGCGAGTATGTTTATACAGACTGCTCGATTGACTATATTCGTAACGTTATTTTATCCATGTGGTGAAAACTATGACATTAGAAAGGAAGGCATATAGCGCCTCCAAGCACCTTCTTTACTTGGTGAATCCATCAATCATCACACGAGTCAGAAACGAAACTGTCCGTTTGATCGAACAAAGCTGCCATGCATTCGTAATTTTTTAATGTACTACGTTCAAAACATTGATTTCCTTGCCATCAAGCCTATCGATAGATATCAAATATCGTATAATGCAGGCTATATAAACTACGTCATGAAAGCGGGAGTGTTTTTCGCGGAGACTCTGTAATTATCGTAAAAAAGTTCGGAGGCCATTCAAAAATCGTGATTACTCGGGAATGCTCGAGATGAAGCATGCATACATATTGAGGGTGACACGAGTACGCGAGTGCGACGCAGTGAGACAGCAATGGAGCGTTTCCCGCGACCTGAACCCGTCTTTCCGGGTTTTCTCGTTGCAGGATTTTTCAATCAGGATGTACTGACAGAGTCGCCAAACCTGTGCACGTTCACGGGCGCCGTGTGCGTGAACGTATGTAACGCATCGCTCTTCACACTAATGATCATCAGTGTCAGCCGCATGTTTGCTATTTCTTACCCCAATATCTACGCCCGTATGTTCACGCCAATGAACTGCATTGCCGTTGTCGTCATCAGCTGGTTTGTCGTCATAGCCGTGAACCTGCCAGCGTTCTTCTATAGCGACGGCTTCTGGTTTGAACCGCGTTCGCAGTCGTGCCTGTGGAACTGGTACGTGAACCCGCTGCACCGCCACCTGTGGGCCGTGCTCTGCCTAATAGTGCCCGTCATCGTGACGGCTGCCTGCTACCTGAACATATTCATTCACGTCTACAAAAGCAAACAGCGGGTAAGTGCGCTGGGATGGAGAGATGGATGGGTGGATGGATGGATAGACAGACAGACGGACGGACGGACAGATGGATAAATAAATGGGTGAATGGATTGATTGATAGACGGATGGATGGATGGACGGATGGAATGATGGACTGATGGGTGGATGAATGGATGGATAGATAGATGGATGGATGGATGGATGGATGGATGGATGGATCCTGCTAATTGTGTTGATGTCACCGACATGATCCTGTAAGTAGATTCGCGGTGCTACCGATGTTGACAACAACGCACCGCCGTTAAACTGTTCGCATCTGCTCCGTAGGTCGCAACTGTTAGTGACGCTCAGCGGAGAACGAAGCTGTCTGCGTCGGCGACCGAACTCGCACGAACGTTGTGCATCATCTTCGTCGTGTTCGTGATTAGCTGGATGCCGATTTTTTTCAACCTTTTTTTCGATCCCGACTACGATTGGCCGGCCCCGTTTTTCCTGTTGGCACTTTTCATGGCGCATTTTAACAGCTCCGTCAATCCTATCTTATACGGTGTGACTAACAGGCAGTTTCGCACTGGTTTCAGACACGTACTGTGCCTGGGCGGGCGCTTTGACGACCAGGCGTCTAGCCTAAAAGAAATGGTTCTATCTAAACGGCGGGGGACTTTAGCGCCACCGCCCACTGTTAGATCTGCAAGGGCTGCATCTAGCATCAGTGCTACAGTGCAGGTCTTGCACGGTTGAATGTAATATTTGCCACGGGTAAACGCTCTTCGAACTACGAAGGGTCTTACTCTCCATAGTTCTGTTCCGCGTACGTGTCGTATGTAGTTGATGGTGACTTTGTGCATCAATAAGGCGCGGATATGTGCACGTTAACGAAAATATGTATAATGAGTTGTATAAATTACAAGCGTTATACTGTATTATAATTGCAAAGTTTAATTATTTGTATCTTTCGAAAATTTTGAAGTATGTTTTAAGTTACTCTAGGATATACATTGTTGTAGTAATATAATGATATAATGAAATTATATGATGCTAGGTGTTAATCACTGACGTCGGTATGGTTAAAATAATATTTATAGTGTGCACTGCTGTGTTAGAAATCATACTTGGGTGTAATTATTGATATTAATATTATCAGGAGTCTATCAATTGATAGACTCCTGATATTATCTGGGGACTATTATTATATTTATTGCAGGATCGAATTTATCTTCCTGTCTTATAAAGATTTCATTTTTCACGTTGTCGCTGTGTTAGAAAAAAGCAGAGGTCTTCCGTATCATTGATCATACTGATTAAATCAAGAGCTAATAATATCGTTTTGTCGTGTTATATGTGAAGCGATCTCCCCCTTCTCATCGGGCACACGGGGGTTGTGAATCCCCAGCCACAAGCATCTCCACGTCAGTCCCGCCCAGTACCGGCACGACAAAGTACACACACGGCCAATCATGTATATA